TATATACACAGTGTGTTTCACCCAATAACAACAGAATACTGATTCTTCTTGGTAGCATATGGAACTTTGCCCAAAATAGATCACACACTAGCCAATAAAGGATGTTTAAGTAAATGTAAAGGAAAAAAAATTTCCATGCATATTATCTAATCATAGTACAATGAAACTAGAAATCAATGCCAAAAGAAATGACAGAAATCATGCAACTACATAGAAATTAAACAACACACTGAAATAATTAGTGAGTCATAGAAGAAATCAAGGAAGAAATAAAACAGCTCCTGTAATTAAATGATAATGCCAACACAGCATACTAGAATTTGAGACACAATAAAAGCAGTCATAAGAGGGAAGTTGTAGCTGTGAATGACCACCTCAGAAAACAGAGCAAGCACAAATAAATAATCAAAAGATGTACCATACCTCAAGGTCCTAGAAAAACAAGAAAAATCCAAATCCAGAGCTAGTAGAAGAAAGAAATTGTAAAGACCAGAGCTGAAATTAATGAAATAGAGACAAAAAATAATAATACAAGGAACCAATAAATCAAAGAGCTTGTTCCTTCAAAAATTAAAAAAAAAAAAACCCTTAGTCACCTGTGCCAATAAAGTGGGAAAAAAAACTGAAAAAATCAATCCAATTAATAAAACAAAAAAGGTGGAAATCACAGTGGTAGCACCAAAATCCAGATTTTTAGTATCTATTCCACAAATATGTATGCCAAGAAACTGGAGAACTTAAAGAATGGGAAACATTACTAAATATGCATAAACTACCAAAACTGAGCCAGGGAAACAAAAAAAGTCTTCAACAATCCAATGATAAACAATGAAAGTGAAGCAATAATAAAATCTCTACAAATGAACCACTTGACAGTTTATCCCAAGTGTCACTTGTCAATTCTTCTGAGAATTGCTCAGTCAGGTGTTATTCTTTGGATTTTTTAATTAATTAACTTTATTGGTACATTTAAGGTATCAATGTAGTGACATTCATCATTGGAAATTTGCACCTTTACACAATCCATGGTAGTTCTTATTTTTTCCACATTCCCTTGCCCTCCCTACAACCCCTCCACCCCTTCCTACTTACAAAGACTTTGTTTCCATTTTTTATCTTGTGTTAATTCCATTCCCAACTTTCTTTTCCCCTATCTCTCCCATTTCCGCTTCCACTTTGCACCTTCTCTTCCTATTTCAAATTATCTAACTTTTAGTCCTTATTTACACTTTCAGTTTCTCACACTAGAGAGACTATTCAATATTTACACATATGTGTCATATTTTTTCAATTAAGAATATCATCTCAATGTGCATCCATTTAGCTATAAATGTCTAGTTTCTTATTTTTATTTCTGAGTAGTACTTCATTTTTTTTTTTAAACACACACTTTATTGAGTCTTCTCGGCTGTTGGGCAATTGAGCTGTTTTCAAGTTTTAGCTAGCTATGAACGCGGGTGCACATATATCATTGTGGTATGATTCTTTTCATTCTTTGGGAAAGATACCAAGAAAGGGGATAGCAGGGTCA